GAAATGAAGAAACAGGTATCACAATTAGAGTTGTTAATGTGAGCTAGGTTTAAATGTTATATACTCCGTTAGATATGAACTTAAGCTAATTTGAAACTCTTAATCTTAATTCTTTAATGTGCATGATTGATTTTTAAGATCAGTTCTAATGAAGTTTTTAACCACATGATACGCGCACTAAATATTTTTCTTTTGCACTTATATACAAGTATGGATCTATATAAGGTATCAAATGCGGGTTCTCGAGAATCTAATGACTTTTTTATGTTTATATTGAGAAATTTATTAAATATATAAATATTATTTGTTGCGAAAATCTGTAACAAAGTAAATTCTTGGTGGAGTTACATAAATGGATTAGCTTAAGTTTTGTTGCTCTCGTCAATAAGAGTTTGATTTTGTCTATATGAATAGTGACATAAAAAGTTGACTCGAGTCAGGTTGGTGATTATCCAACTTTGAGTTTATCTCGTAAAAATTATTTTGCTTCACTTTATATCATTGAGAAAAAAATATTTACGTCCTAAATTGAAGGACATAATTATCAGTTCAATTTTCTAGGTCTCTCTTCAATTTTTGGCTTCGATTTCTTAATTTGCCATCTTCACTTGCTTCTCCCCCACGGTTTTTTGGTTTCAATTTTTCATCTGTTTTTTTCTAAATTTAGTTTTAGATATATATGGGCTGATGAAGTTTGAATGTCACTTGAATTAAAAGAGGAAAAATGAATATTGAGAGAACCACGAAAAAGTAAATAAATTGATGTCCTCAACGTTTCATCTACTCAAGCTTCTCCAACTACTGACTTCCATCGCTTCCACCGATTTTTATCTTCAATTTCTCCAAGTACTGTTGCAATTTTAAGGCAGTCTTTTGTCCTCTCAAAATTGTTTTGTATTCTTGAACATTTTTTTGTGGAGGGTTGTAATTTACATATGGTAAAACAACTCATTAGTAAGTTCATAAGAGCTTTTACACTTTGTTAATTGTTAATAATTAAGAGACTTGGAGTGTTAATCTTGACGAGTTTTTATAGTTCCTTTCGTTGGCCGGCGTTATGCATATTCCTAAATAGTAAGTATATTTTCAATTTTAATGTATGTCAGGGTACAAGTATTCACAAGCTATTGATTTACACACACAAGCGACTGAATTGGACAGTGAGAATATTGTATACTAGACTAATTGTGGCTTTAACACACCAAATTTGAGGAATATGACGGTACAAAACAGGACGGAACAAATAGCTATTTAAATTGACTCTACATATTCATAAGTTAGTTTCGAATTGTGAAAATATTGACAAAGACTTGTGCTTTCATTGTTATTTTAGATGTTTATGTTGCTGTGTGCTTAATCGTTTACAACTTAGAAGTGAAACACGCACTAAAGGATTTTCAACTGGTTGGCATTTTTTTTTGCAACTTCTTCAGCAATATCAACGGCATATTACTTGTCTATTATCAAATTATTCTTATGTGTAAGTTTGGTGGTTTAGTACTATTGTTGCTTCGCAATCACTATGTGTAAGACAACACAAAAATACTATAGACATTTTCTATTTTAACCACATGCTGGAAGACCATGTTTTCTTAGGTTGGTACAATGACGACATTGGCTATATTTTATCTGAATCAAGAGGGAGTTCAGATATCCATTCATTGCAAATTCGTAGTTTCGATTGATCCTCAAAAGTTTAGACTGAATGGAGAATCGATACACATATGTATGTTCGTTTATGAAACCAGTAACTTTGATGTATCGAGGGCTTCTTCCTAACTATTCTCGCCTTATAAATATTCCCAACTATTGTCGCGTCATATGTATTGGCACGGGCAATGAATCATCTAGTATGACTAAACAAACAGACAATAATGTAACAATACAAAAGTAGAATTAAGAAGTGGAAATGTAATGTTTGTGTTGTACTGTATTGTTGTAATTCACACCTTGTTTGGGTAGTTGTACTGTATTGTTGGTCTAAATGTAATGTTTGTGTTGATTGTTATTTAAGTTTTATTGTATTGTATCGTTTAAATCTATCGCTGGTGGCATGGGCTCCATATCAACCAAAGAGATCTAACAATCCATATCAACCAAAGGCTTCAGGCCCATATAAAGTTGGTGGGCTCCGGGGCCTCATAAACACTACAACAAAAACAACTTTTAGCGTCAATACATAGACACATTAATAAAGAGTGTTAAAGTCTTTACCGACATTAGTTAAGTGTCATTAGATCCAATGTCGCTAAAGCCTTTAGGGACATATACAAAGAGTGTTAATTGCCGCTAAAAATACATATTTAGCGGCAATTGCTAATTAATTGCCGCTACAGCTCATTTTTTATGTAGTGAAAGTTGGTGGCGGAAATAGGCGTTAAAAATGGTGTGAGTATAAGTGGTGGTTCTCCAACTCATTACGGAGATTCTTATAAAGTTTTTTGAAAAAAAAATTCGGTGCTTCGGGGCATCAAATTCATGGGCTATAACACACGAAAAATCGAGGATTTTGAGTAATTCATAAAAAAACATGTAAATGCGGAAATATGCGTTACAAAAATGGTGTGAGTATATGTGGTGGTTCCCCAGCTCATTACGGAGGTCCTCATAAAGTTTTTTGAGAAGAAAATTTTGGGTGCTCCGTTTTGCCGGATCCATGGGGCTCACTTACGAGACCTACCTACTGCTCGTGAATCGGACGACGGACCGTCCTGATGAACTGTTGAAAATTACAGAAAACTTGACATTTTTGGAAAAAAACTGACTGGCCGACCATGGACATCACTTTTTTCAGTCTTTTAAAATTTGTTTATCCTTTCACCAATGATTATTTGTTTATTAGAACATTTTAATATCTCAAGTTGATGTTCGTGTGATTCCACAAAAATATCAAATAGTAACACTTCCTGAAAGCAAAAGGATAAAATCAATTAAAAATAATTGATTGAAGGATAAATGATAAGATGTTATAATTATCATTTTCTTTTACATTATTAATGTTCGTTACTACGTAATCTTATATGTAAGATAATATAGTATTTTAGTTTTAATTACTGATAGATTTCAAATATTATTTTATAAATTTCGTAATATTAAATTTCCGCGCGAATAATTTTACTAGTTCTTGTTTAAACGACAGCTCAAGTGGCTAGCAGTATAGGAAGTTGAATTGCAACCTCAGCTTCCAAGTTAAGGCATAAAACAAAAAAGTGTGATTAACTTGGCCTCAATTGGTATCTATGTCTTTCAATTTTGAATGTGCATAACTAGACATTTAAATTTGAATATAGTTGAACAAGTAGATACACACGTGATATGTGACAATTTGTAACCTATATGAACATGTATTATGTCACAAAAAGTGTATGTTTACTTGTGCAATATTATATAAATTTAAGTGTTTACTTGTGTACACCAAAATCGAAGGACGTAACTGTCAGTTCAGATCAAATTAAATGGTATGTTTATATATTATGCCTAAAAAACAGATAATAATGCGACAATACAGAAGTAGAATTAAGAAGTGGAAATAGAGCAGCAATGAAGTGCTTTTAAATATATTTATTTACTTTTCTATAACAACTTGGAGACTGTCACATCCTGTGTTTTCTTCAATCTCTCTTTTGATATTCATAGCTGAAACCCCTAAAGACTCCATGCAGTCAAACAGTTCAATACGTCTTAGGGTTAGAATATCCGCAAAGCTTGGGGGGATCTCCTTGATCTCCTTGAAACCGGGCCATCCACTTATAACTAGCTTCTCAAGCACAGGAAACGATTCCTCTGAAGCTTTCCATTCTTCTATCTGCATAAAGAATAATCCCAAGTATTTGAGTGCAGCAAACTCCACATCTGTCACATCCCAACAATATCTCATAGAAGCAAATCCCATAGATAATTGAAGACTCTCAAGCTTCTTCAGTCTTGCAATGTTTAAAACCATTTCTTCCGTCAAGAAACAGGTGGCAAGGTCCAAATGCCTAAGATTTGAAGGGAACACACAATACCTCTCCCATCCAACTGAATCAAATAATTCTGTTAAAGAGAACTCCAGAGTAAGAAAATGAAGGTGACTATGAACTTCCGCTATGGGAAACAACGGAAACTCAGGTACAACTTTAACGTTGAGGCCGAGTTCTTCAAGATTCGGAAACCTCCACCACAACCTTGCATTCATATTATCCAAGCGTATATCACAAGT